AATTAAAGTGTATAAATCAAATCAAATTGTAATAAAATACATTACAATTTTATATCACAGTAAAATACTATAAAATACACAAACATTACAAGCTATAAATCACACTAAGATTAAATAAAATAGACCCAAATAAGCTGCATAATTCACATTAAAATTGAAAAAATGTAAATGTATATATTTGGAAACAGTCCAAATGACTGTCCCAATGACCCTGCTGAGTGATCTGTGATGTTTCTTTTAAAAGACAGTTCATTCTCTATGAATTTTTGAATGGAAGTCAATTCCACACATTTTTTAGACCTCTGTTAAAAACAGTCCTCATCATGCAGTTAGTATTGGGCTCTGGAACAACCAGCGAACCTGAGGTCACTTGATGATTCACATGGTTGTGACTGAACCCACTGATTTACTTTTTTTGTATAGAAAACTAGGCTCTTGTTTTTCTCAAAACTTTGTTTATAAATGTTAAAACGGCTAACATGTTATTTTTCCTCAATTGTTAACCAATACAAATACTCTGCATCTCCTTTATATTTCCTTTAAAAAGAATATGGAGTACAATTCTAGCTGCTCTGCTCTGAGCGATCTGAGGTTTCCTTAAATGTTTCTGAGCAGCGTTGGACCAGACAATGGGACAATAATGAAGGTGGCACAGCACAGCTGGAGGTCATGTCCTGTGTACTTCCTGTCTACTTTCAAACGTCTGTTTTGATCCCCTGCACATTTTACTGTCCAAAAACTTATGCTTCAGTACACAGACAGTCGTCAAGCGCTAGGACCAAGTAGAAAACCGCAGCTCATGCTGAAGCCTGCTTCTCTGAGTTTAGACTGTCCACAAGCCCCTGATTGGCCCATTGTCTCTTCTTGTGTGATTGGATGTCACCGGTGTCACTCCTGAGAAGCTCACTTTACAAACATCTGATGGGCCACTGAATCGGGTCTGTGATTGGATGGTCAAACACCCTGAAGTATATTAGAAAATACTTGCTTCCCCCCCAACTTCTGAAATCAAAATTTCATCCATGAGCAGCACCTCAATACAGAACAGATCTGTTGTTAGTGTATCAACCTCCCAGACCAATCAGGTCTTCTAGTTTAAGGCTACTCTGTCGACCCAGAACTAAAACCAAACATGGAGAAGCAGCATTTTCCTGTGCTCCAATGATCTAGATTCTAGAACAAACTCCCAGAAGGCAGTAAAAGTGCCGAAAGCCTGAGTTTTATTACGTCAAAGTAAAAAAAAAAAACATTTGTTTAAAGATGCCTTCGACTGTTCAAGTTAAACTGCTAGCTGGGGTATTATTTTAAGGTTGTGATCCAACTGTTTTATTTGTTTTACACGTGTTTTGTCTTTGCTCACTTTATTCTTCTTTTGTTTTTCTTCTATTATATTATATAATTAATGTAAAGCCCTTTTAATTGTCTATGTACGGAATTGTGCTATACAAATATACTTGCCTTGCCTTGCCTTAGCAGACCTATCTATCCAAGATGTTTCATCCAGAATATAGAAGCCCTGCTATTCCTATGAAGTTTGGACATTAAAAAGAGTTTAAAAAGCTGCTAAAGACATTTCTTATTCCAACAAGCTTTTAGTCAGACTTTTTTTTTATTGTGTTCAGTTTCCTGTATTGTACATAGTTGTGTATTTTGCTTGATTAGCTCTATGATGAAGCACTCTGTGACATCTCTCTAAGAAAAGGTGCCAGAGAAATAAACTTCTACTTTATCTACATCCCTATGAGCAAAGAACAGCTCTGGAATTGGCTATAAACTCAGTTAATCTGATGAGACTGACTTTCATTTAATCCCAGGATGTTCTGATCAATCTGAATAAAACTGTCACCATTATATTTCTGATTGTTTGATGATTTTTTTCAAAGTCCTGCAGTAGGATGTCTTCCAGGTCTGATTATAATGTGGAAATTTTCTTCTAGTTCTCAGTCACCAAAATCTGTTTTATCAAACACAGTGAAGCTTGGAGTCTACAGTATCAGGTGATCAGAGATGGGAAGTAACGAAGTACAAATACTTTGTTACTGTACTCAAGTAGATTTTTCTGATATTTTTACTTTACTT